ATGCTGCTGATGATGATGCTGGTGCTGCTGATGATGATGCTGCTGAGGGAGGTGAGGGAAGGGAGGTGAGGGAGGTGAGGGAGGTGAGGGAGGTGATGGAGGGGAGAGAGGGGAGGTGAGGGAGGGACACCACGACCACCACCACCACGACCACTGACCCCGACACCCGGTCTCAACAGACACCCACCTCCTCCGCCACCTCCTCCTCCACCTCCTCTGCCACCTCCTCGCCTGACTGCCGGCATCTTGGCCAGCACCTCCAGCGCTAGCATGGGGCAGCCGGACTTGAAGTGGGCGTTGGCTGTCTTGAACAGCAGCCTCCTCTCAAGCGAGTTCACCTCTTCCTCGTCACCTCCTCCACCTCCTCCTCCTCCACCTCCTCCTCCACCTCCTCCTCCACCTCCGTCCGCGGCCAGCGAAGCAAAGCGGCGCTGCCGCTGGATGAGCGGGTGGGCACGCAGGAAGTTGTAGAAGTTGAAGACGCTTGGGTCACAGCAAGAGACGCATCCACCCACAGCGATGGACGTCTCTGGGTGACCTGCAACGGGTTGGGGGGGGGGGCGGATAGCGGGTGGGTTAGTGGGTGGGTGGGTAGTGGGTGGGTGGTAGTGGGTGGGTGAGTGGGTGGGTGGGTGGGTGAGTGGGTGGGTGGGTGAGTGGGTGGGTGAGTGGGTGGGTGAGTGAGTGGGTGGTTGAGTGGGTGGGTGGGTGAGTGAGTGGTTGAGTGGGTGGGTGGGTGAGTGGGTGGGTGGGTGGATGAGTGAGTGGGTGGATGAGTGAGTGGGTGAGTGAGTGGTTGAGTGGGTGGGTGAGTGGGTGGGTGGGTGGGTGAGTGAGTGGGTGGGTGGATGAGTGAGTGGGTGGGTGAGTGGGTGGATGAGTGAGTGGGTGGATGAGTGAGTGGGTGGATGAGTGAGTGAGTGGGTGAGTGGGTGGTTGAGTGGGTGGGTGGGTGAGTGGGTGGATGAGTGGATGAGTGAGTGGTTGAGTGGGTGGGTGAGTGGGTGGTTGAGTGGGTAGGTGAGTGGGTGGATGAGTGAGTGGGTGGATGAGTGGGTGGGTGGGTGAGTTGATGAGTGAGTGGTTGAGTGGGTGGGTGAGTGGGTGGATGAGTGACTGGATGAGTGAGTGGTTGAGTGGGTGAGTGAGTGGGTGAGTATCACCCATGGCTAAGGTGCATTGCTCCATCATCACCACCTACACACAAAGACAAATCTCCCCCGTGTAGCCTGTAATAGACTGTAGGGGCAAGTGCTGTTAGTAGCGAGTATCAGCAGCACCTGTGATGTACACACAGACAAAGCTCCCCCAGGTAGCCTCTAGCAGGGCTGTAGGGGCAAGTGCAGTGTTAGACACACACAGACAAAGCTCCCCCAGGTAGCCTCTAGCAGGGCAGTAGGGGCAAGTGCTGTGTTAGACACACAGACAAAGCTCCCCCAGGTAGCCTCTAGCAGGGCTGTAGGGGCAAGTGCAGTGTTAGACACACACACACAAAGCTCCCCCAGGTAGCCTCTAGCAGGGCTGTAGGGCCAAGTGCTGCACCTACGAAGGCTACCGGCACCGTGGCTACACAGTGGGTGGCCACCACCACCACCACCACCACCACCACGCCCGGCCGCCTTTGTCTCCCCCCCCCCTCCCCCCCCCCCCTCCCCCCCCCCCCCCAGTGTCTAAAGCGACGCTCACTAACACCACCGCTACAGCGGCTGCCCTCAGTTGAGGCCGAGTCGACCTAGGGGGAGGCCCGGGGCCGGCGCTGGCGACCGTCACCGACGGAGGAGCCGGGGGCCCTCACCCGGTGGGGCGGGCTGCTCCAGCAGGGCCTGCAGGGCCCGCGAGGGGCTACCCAGAATCCAATGCGTCATGCTGCGTAGGAAGGGGTCTGCGTGGGGCGGCAGGAAGTCGTCGCGGCCCTCCGGGGAAGGCCCGCCCAGGATACGGTGACGCAACACCAGCCTGGGGGGGGAGGGGCGAAGGGGGGGTCAAGGGGTCAAGGGAGGGTCAAAGGGGAGAGATGTCAGGGGGGAAGGATGGGGGGAGGTTGTTGAAGGGGGAGGGGGGGGGAGGAGGTCAAATGGGGGGGAGGGAGGAGGGGGTCAAAGGGGGAGGAGGGGGGGTCAAAGGGGGGGGAGGGAGGGGGTCAAGGGGGGGTCAAGGGGGGTCAAGGGGGGGTCAGTGTCGATGTTTGTGGTTGGAACGGGGAGACTGCCCCGGTGGAAAATACGGCACGGGAAGTGACCACCACCACCACTACCACCACCACCACCGTCACCACTACCACCACCACTACCACCACCACTACTACCACACCACCACCGTCACCGTTACCACCACCACTGTCACCATCACCGTCACCACCACCACCACACCACCACCACTACCACCACACCACCACCGTCACCGTTACCACCACCGTCACCGTCACCACCACCACCGTCACCACCACCACCACCATCACCGTTACCACCATCACCACCACTGTCACCATCACCGTCACCACCACCACACCACCACCACCACCGTCACCACTACCACCACCACTACCACCACCACTACTACCACACCACCACCGTCACCGTTACCACCACCACTGTCACCATCACCGTCACCACCACCACCACACCACCACCACTACCACCACACCACCACCGTCACCGTTACCACCACCGTCACCGTCACCACCACCACCGTCACCACCACCACCACCATCACCGTTACCACCATCACCACCACTGTCACCATCACCGTCACCACCACCACACCACCACCACCACCGTCACCACCATCACCATCACCACCACCACACCACCACCACACCACCACTACCACCACACCACCACCACCACACCACCACTACCACCACACCACCACCACCACCACACCACCACCACCACACCACCACTACCACCACTACCACCACCACCACACCGTCACCACCACACTACCACCACCACCACCACCTGTATGTACTCTCACTGCTGTCCCCCTCTTCGGAGAGACGAGACACCACCACCACACTACCACCACACCGTCACCACCACACTACCACCACACCACCACCACCACCACACCACACCACCACACCACCACCACACCACCACCACACCACCACCACCACCACACTACCACCACCACCACACCACCACACTACCACACCACCACCACCACACCACCACCACACCACCACACCACCACCACACTACCACCACACCACCACCACACTACCACCACCACACTACCACCACCACCACACTACCACCGTCACCACCACCACACCACTTGTAGGTACTCTCACTGCTGTCCCCCTCTTCGTAGAGACGAGACACCACCACCACACTACCACCACACCACCACCACCACACTACCACCACACCACCACCACCACACTACCACCACACCACCACCACCACACTACCACCACACCGTCACCACCGTCACCACCACCACCACACCACCACCACACCACCACCACCTGTAGGTGCTCTCACTGCTGTCCCCCTCTTCATAGAGACGAGACACGACCACACCACCACCACCACCACACTACCACCGTCACCACCACCACCACCTGTATGTACTCTCACTGCTGTCCCCCTCTTCGTAGAGACGAGACACCACCACCACCACACCACCACACTACCACCACCACCGTCACCACCACACCACCACCACCACCACACTACCACCACCAACACCACACTACCACCACCACACTACCACCACCACCACCACACTACCACCACCACCACCACCTGTAGGTACTCTCACTGCTGTCCCCCTCTTCATAGAGACGAGACACCACCACCACACCACCACCACCACACCACCACCACACCACCACACTACCACCACCGTCACCACCACCACCTGTAGGTACTCTCACTGCTGTCCCCCTCTTCGTAGAGATGAAACACCACCACCACCACCACCACACCACTACCACCACCACCACACCACCACCACCACCACCACCACACCACCACCACCTGTAGGTGCTCTCACTGCTGTCCCCCTCTTCGTAGAGACGAGACACCACCACACCACCACTACCACCACCACCACTACCACACCACCACCACACCACCACCACACTACCACCAACACCACCACCACCACACCACCACCACCTGTAGGTACTCTCACTGCTGTCCCCCTCTTCGTAGAGACGAGACACCACCACCACACCGTCACCACCACACCACCACCACACCACCACCACACTACCACCGTCACCACCACCACACTACCACCGTCACCACCACCACCACCACCTGTATGTGCTCTCACTGCTGTCCCCCTCTTCGTAGAGACGAGACACCACCACCACACTACCACCACACCGTCACCACCACACCACCACCGTCACCACCACCACACTACCACCACCACCACCACCTGTAGGTGCTCTCACTGCTGTCCCCCTCTTCATAGAGACGAGACACCACCACCACACTACCACCACACCACACTACCACCACACTACCACCACCACACTACCACACTACCACCACCACACTACCACCACCACACCACCACCACCACACCACCACACTACCACCACCACACCACCACCACCACCTGTATGTACTCTCACTGCTGTCCCCCTCTTCGTAGAGACGAGACACCACCAGGGCCAGCTGCAGGTCGTGGAGCTTCTCCAGGCACACCTAGCGGGGGGGGGGCACGGGGGAGTGGGGGGGTAGGGGGAGTGGGGGGGGCACGGGGGGGGGGGTAGGGGGAGTGGGGGGGGGCACAGGGGGGGGGTAGGGGGAGTGGGGGGGGGCACGGGGGGGGTAGGGGGAGTGGGAGGGGGCACGGGGGGGGGGGGGTAGGGGGAGTATCGTCAGGAGGTACAGGAGCAGCCCTGCAACTTTGCACCGCTGGCAGAATGTGTTCACTACAGCCTCCAGGTTACACCACGTGGGTGGTGAAGGTGGTGGTGGTGGTGGTAGTGGTGGTGGTGGTAGTGGTGGTGGTGGTAGTGGTGGTGGTGGTAGTGGTGGTGGTGGTGGTGGTAGTGGTGGTGGTGGTAGTGGTGGTGGTGGTAGTGGTGGTGGTGGTAGTGGTAGTGGTGGTTGTAGTGGTGGTGGTGGTGGTGGAGGTAGTGGTGGTGGTGGTGGAGGTAGTGGTGGTAGTGGTGGTGGAGGTGGTGGAGGTAGTGGTGGTGGTGGTGGAGGTAGTGGTGGTAGTGGTGGTGGTGGTGGAGGTAGTGGTGGTAGTGGTGGTGGTAGTGGTGGTGGTAGTGGTGGTAGTGGTGGTGGTGGTGGTAGTGGTGGTGGTGGTAGTGGTGGTAGTAGTGGTGGTGGTGGTGGAGGTAGTGGTGGTAGTGGTGGTGGTAGTGGTGGTGGTAGTGGTGGTAGTGGTGGTGGAGGTGGTGGTAGTGGTGGTAGTGGTGGTAGTAGTGGTAGTGGTGGTGGTGGTAGTGGTGGAGGTGGTGGTGGTAGTGGTGGAGGTAGTGGTGGTGGTGGAGGTGGTGGTGGTAGTGGTGGAGGTGGTGGTGGTAGTGGTGGTGATGGTAGTGGTGGAGGTAGTGGTGGTGGTGGTTGAGGTGGTGGAGGTGGTGGTGGTGGTTGAGGTGGTGGTGGTGGTGGAGGTGGTGGTAGTGGTGGAGGTGGTGGTGGTAGTGGTGGTGATGGTAGTGGTGGAGGTAGTGGTGGAGGTAGTGGTGGTGGAGGTAGTGGTGGTAGTAGTGGTAGTGGTGGTGTTAGTGGTGGTAGTGGTGGTGGTAGTGGTGGTTGAGGTGGTGGAGGTGGTGGTGGTGGAGGTGGTGGTGGAGGTGGTGGTGGTAGTGGTGGAGGTGGTGGTGGTAGTGGTGGTGATGGTAGTGGTGGAGGTAGTGGTGGTGGTGGTTGAGGTGGTGGTGGTGGTTGAGGTGGTGGTGGTAGTGGTGGAGGTGGTGGTGGTAGTAGTGGTAGAGGTGGTGGTGGTAGTGGTGGAGGTAGTGGTGGTGGAGGTGGTGGTGGTGGAGGTGGTGGTGGAGGTGGTGGTGGTAATGGTGGAGGTGGTGGTGGTAGTGGTGGTGATGGTAGTGGTGGAGGTAGTGGTGGTGGTGGTTGAGGTGGTGGAGGTGGTGGTGGTTGAGGTGGTGGTGGAGGTGATGGTAGTGGTGGAGGTGGTGGTGGAGGTAGTGGTGGTGGAGGTAGTGGTGGTAGTAGTGGTAGTGGTGGTGGTGGTTGTGGTGGTAGTGGTGGTGGTAGTGGTGGTAGTTGTGGTGGTGGTGGTGGTGGTAGTGGTGGTGGTGGTAGTGGTGGTGGTAGTGGAGGTAGTGGTGGTAGTGGTGGAGGTAGTGGTGGTAGTGGTGGTAGTGGTGGTAGTGGTGGTGGTAGTGGTGGTGGTAGTGGTGGTAGTGGTGGTGGTAGTAGTGGTAGTGGTGGTAGTGGTGGTGGTAGTGGTGGTGGTGGTAGTAGTAGTTGTGGCGGTAGTAGTGGTGGTGGTAGTAGTGGTGATGGTGGTAGTGGTGGTGGTGGAGGTAGTGGTGGTGGTGGTGGAGGTGGTGGTGGTGGTGGTAGTGGTGGTGGTGGTGGTAGTGGTGGTGGTGGTAGTGGTGGTGGTAGTGGTGGTGGTAGTGGTGGTGGTGGTAGTGGTGGTTGTGATGGTGGTGGAGGCAGTGGTGGTAGAAGAGCTTGTGGTGGTTGTGGTGGGTGGTTAGTGGGTGGTTACAGGGTGGTTAGTGGGTGGTTGGTGGGTGGTTAGTGGGTGGTTGTGGTGTGTGGGTGGTTAGTGGGTGGTTGGTGGGTGGTTACTGGGTGGTTGGTGGGTGGCTAGTGGGTGGCTAGTGGGTGGATAGTGGGTGGGTGGTTAGTGGTGGTGGTAGTGGTGGAGGTAGTGGTGGTTGAGGTGGTGGTGGTGGTGGAGGTAGTGGTGGAGGTGGTGGTGGAGGTGGTGGTGGAGGTAGTGGTGGTGGTAGTGGTGGTAGTGGTGGTGGTAGTGGTGGTAGTGGTGGTGATGGTAGTGGTGGAGGTAGTGGTGGTGGTGGTAGTGGTGGTAGTGGTGGTGGAGGTAGTGGTGGTAGTGGTGGTAGTGGTGGTGGTGGAGGTAGTGGTGGTGGAGGTAGTGGTGGTGGAGGTAGTGGTGGTGGTGGTAGTGGTGGTGGTAGTTGTGATGGTGGTGGTGGAGGCAGTGGTGGTAGAAGAGCTTGTGGTGGTTGTGGTGGGTGGTTAGTGGGTGGTTACAGGGTGGTTAGTGGGTGGTTAGTGGGTGGTTGGTGGGTGGTTAGTGGGTGGTTGTGGTGTGTGGGTCGTTAGTGGGTGGTTACTGGGTGGTTGTTGGGTGGCTAGTGGGTGGCTAGTGGGTGGCTAGTGGGTGGCTAGTGGGTGGGTGGTTAGTGGGTGGGTGGTGGGTGGGTGGTTGGTGGGTGGGTGGTTGGTGGGTGGTTAGTGGGGGGCACCCCCCCACCTCTATCGTGTCGTGCAGCGAGCCAGCCAATAGGAAGAAGGCTGCAGCGTGAGTGAATCTCTGCTTCCCCAGCAGGGCGTAGGTGTTGGTGGGTGGGTGGTTGGTGGGTGGTTAGTGGGTGGTTAGTGGGTGGGTGGTTAGTGGGTGGGTGGTTCGTGGGTGGTTAGTGGGTGGGTGGTTAGTGGGTGGGTGGTTGGTGGGTGGGTGGTTGGTGGGTGGTTGGTGGGTGGTTAGTGGGTGGGTGGTTGGTGGGTGGGTGGTGGGTGGTTAGTGGGTGGGTGGTTAGTGGGTGGGTGGTTGGTGGGTGGGTGGTGGGTGGTTAGTGGGGGGCACCCCCCCCACCTCTATCGTGTCGTGCAGCGAACCAGCCAATAGGAAGAAGGCTGCAGCGTGAGTGAATCTCTGCTTCCCCAGCAGGGCGTAGGTGGTGGGTGGGTGGTTAGTGGGTGGGTGGTGGGTGGTTAGTGGGTGGGTGGTTAGTGGGTGGGTGGTGGGTGGTTAGTGGGTGGGTGGTTAGTGGGGGGCACCCCCCCACCTCTATTGTGTCGTGCAGCGAGCCAGCCAATAGGAAGAAGGCTGCAGCGTGAGTGAATCTCTGCTTCCCCAGCAGCGCGTAGGCGTTGGTGAGTGCAGCACGACGCCATCGCTCCTCGCCAAAGTTGTTGCTGAAGAAGGAAGTCATCTTGACGTCGCCACGAGACCTGCAACCACACGCACGCAGAGACGCCCGCTCGCTCGCTCAGCAACTCGCTCAGCCACTCATTCAACCACTCAGCCACTCAACCACTCAGCCACTCACTCACTCACTCAGCCACTCACTCACTCACCACTCACTCAACCACTCACTCACTCAACCACTCAGCCACTCAACCACTCACTCAACCACTCAGCCACTCACTCAACCACTCACTCAGCCACTCACTCACTCAGCAACTCACTCACTCAACCACTCAGCAACTCACTCACACAGCCACTCACTCAGCCACTCACTCACACAGCCACTCACTCACCACTCACTCAACCACTCAGCCACTCACTCACTCAGCAACTCACTCACTCAGCAACTCACTTACTCAGCAACTCACTCACTCAAACACTCAGCCACTCACTCAGCCACTCACTCACTCAGCCACTCACTCAGCAACTCACTCAGCCACTCACTCACTCACCCACCCACTCACTCAGCAACTCACTCAGCCACTCACTCAGCCACCCACTCAGCCACTCACCCACCCACTCACTCAGCAACTCACTCACTCAGCCACTCACTCAGCCACTCACTCAGCCACTCACTCACTCAACTACTCACTCAACCACTCAGCCACTCACTCAGCCACTCACTCACTCAACCACTCAGCCACTCATCAACTCGCTCAGCCACTCACTCACACAGCCACTCAGCAACTCACTCACTCAGCCACTCACTCACACACCCACTCACTCACTCAACCACTCACTCACTCAGCCACTCACTCACTCAACCACTCAGCCACTCAGCAACTCGCTCAGCCACTCACTCACACAGCCACTCAGCAACTCACTCAGCCACTCACTCACTCACTCAGCCACTCACTCACTCAGCAACTCGCTCACTCACACAGCAACTCACTCACTCAACCACTCACTCACTCAGCCACTCACTCACTCACTCAACCACTCACTCACTCAGTCACTCACTCACACAGCCACTCACTCACTCAACCACTCACTCACTCAGCCACTCACTCAGCCACTCACTCAGCCACTCACTAACTCAGCCACTCACTCACTCAGCAACTCACTCACTCAGCCACTTGCTCGCTCAGCCACTCACCCACTCAGCCACTCACTCAGCCACTCACTCACTCAGCCACTCACTCACTACTCACTCACTCAGCCACTCACTCACTCAGCCACTCACTCACTCAGCCACTCACTCAACCACTCACTCACTCAGTCACTCACTCAGCCACTCACTCAGCCACTCACTCAGCAACTCACTCACTCAGCCACTCACTCACCCAGCCAATCACTCAGCCACCCACTCACTCAGCCACCCACTCACTCAGCCACTCACTAAGCCATGCACTCACTCAGCCAATCACTCAGCCACTCACTCAGCCATTCACTCAGCCACTCACTCACTCAGCCACTCACTCACCCACTCACCCACTCACCACCCACTCACCACCCACTCACTCACTCAGCCACCCACTCACCACCCACTCACTCACTCACCACCCACTCACTCACTCACCACCCACTCACCACCCACTCACTCAGCCACTCACCACCCACTCACTCACTCACCACCCACTCACCACCCACTCACTCACTCAGCCACCCACTCACCACCCACTCACTCACTCACCACCCACTCACTCACTCACCACCCACTCACCACCCACTCACTCAGCCACTCACCACCCACTCACTCACTCACCACCCACTCACTCACTCACCACCCACTCACCACCCACTCACTCACTCAGCCACCCACTCACCACCCACTCACTCACTCACCACCCACTCACTCACTCACCACCCACTCACCACCCACTCACTCAGCCACTCACCACCCACTCACTCACTCACCACCCACTCACCACCCACTCACTCACTCACCACCCACTCACTCACTCACCACCCACTCACCACCCACTCACTCAGCCACTCACCACCCACTCACTCACTCACCACCCACTCACTCACTCACCACCCACTCACCACCCACTCACTCACCACCCACCCACCCAGCCCCCCACCCCCGTCACCTGAAGAGTCCCCACAGCACCCCTCAGCCCCCCACTCACCACCCACTCACTCACTCAGCCCCCCACCCACTCAGCCCCCCACCCACCCAGCCCCCCACCCACCAGCCACCCACCCAGCCCCCCACCCCCATCACCTGAAGAGTCCCCACAGCACCCCTCAGCCCCCCACTCACCACCCACCCAGCCCCCCACTCACCAGCCCCCCACTCAGCCCCCCACCCCCGCCACCTGAAGAGTCTCCATAGCACCCCTCACCACCCACCCACTCACTCACTCAGCCCCCCACCCACCAGCCCCCCACCCAGCCCCCCGCCCCCGTCACCTGAAGAGCCCCCACACGACCCCCTTCTTGTGCAGGGCGAGGTAGAAGAGGGCAGCGTCCAGGGGGTCTCCACGCTGCTGGAACGCCGCCTTGGCGACCTGGGACACACACGGTGGGTGGGTGGGTGGGTAGGTGGGGGGGTGGGTGGGGGGGTGGGTGGGTGCGTGGGGGGGTGAGTGGGTGGGTGGGTAGGCGGGGGGGTGAGTGGGTGGGTGGGTGGGGGGGTGAGTGAGTGGGTGGGTGGGTGAGTGGGTGAGTGAGTGAGTGTGTGAGTGGGTGCGTGAGTGAGTGAGTGGGTGGGTGGGTAGGTGGGTGAGTGAGTGGGTGAGTGAGTTGATGAGTGAGTGAGTGAGTGGATGAGTGAGTGAGTGAGTGGACGAGTGAGTGAGTGAGTGGATGAATGAGTGAGTGAGTGGATGAGTGAGTGGATGAGTGAGTGAGTGGATGAGTGGGTGGGTGAGTGAGTGGGTGAGTGGGTGAGTGGATGAGTGAGTGAGTCAGTGGATGAGTGAGTGGATGAGTGAGTGAGTCAGTGGATGAGTGAGTGGATGAGTGAGTGAGTGGATGAGTGAGTGAGTGGATGAGTGAGTGGATGAGTAAGTGGATGAGTGAGTGGATGAGTGAGTGAGTGGATGAGTGAGTGAGTGGATGAGTGAGTGAGTCAGTGGATGAGTGAGTGGATGAGTGAGTGGATGAGTGAGTGGATGAGTGAGTGGATGATTGAGTGAGTGGATGAGTGAGTGAGTGAGTGGAAGAGTGAGTGAGTGGATGAGTGAGTGAGTGGGTGGGTGAGTGGATGAGTGAGTGAGTGGGTGAGTGAGTGGATGAGTGAGTGGGTGAGTGGATGAGTGAGTGGATGAGTAAGTGGATGAGTGAGTGAGTAGATGAGTGAGTGAGTGGCTGAGTGAGTGAGTGAGTTGCTGAGTGAGTGAGTGGATGAGTGAGTGAGTGGATGAGTGAGTGAGTGGATGAGTGAGTGGATGAGTGAGTGAGTGGATGAGTGAGTGAGTGGATGAGTGAGTGAGTGAGTGGATGAGTGAGTGAGTGAGTGGATGAGTGAGTGAGTGGATGAGTGAGTGGGTGAGTGAATGAGTGGATGAGTGAGTGAGTGAGTAAGTGGATGAGTGAGTGAGTGAGTGGATGAGTTAGTGAGTGAGTAAGTGGATGAGTGAGTGAGTGGATGAGTGAGTGAGTGGATGAATAAGTGAGTAAGTGGATGAGTGAGAGAGTGAGTGGATGAGTGAGTGAGTGGATGAGTGAGTGGATGAGTGAGTGAGTGGATGAGTGAGTGAGTAGATGAGTGAGTGAGTGAGTGGATGAGTGAGTGCGTGGATGAGTGAGTGAGTGGATGAGTGAGTGAGTGAGTGGATGAGTGAGTGAGTGAGTGGATGAGTGAGTGAGTGGATGAGTGAGTGAGTGACTGGATGAGTGAGTGGGTGAGTGAATGAGTGGATGAGTGAGTGAGTGAGTAAGTGGATGAGTGAGTGAGTGGATGAATAAGTGAGTAAGTGGATGAGTGAGAGAGTGAGTGGATGAGTGAGTGAGTGGATGAGTGAGTGGATGAGTGAGTGAGTGGATGAGTGGATGAGAGAGTGAGTGGCTGAGTGAGTGAGTGGATGAGTGAGAGAGTGGATGAGTGGATGAGTGAGTGAGTGGATGAGTGAGTGAGTGGATGAGTGAGTGAGTGGATGAGTGAGTGGATGAGTGAGTGAGTGGATGAGTGAGTGGATGAGTGAGTGGATGAGTGAGTGAGTGGATGAGTGAGTGAGTGGATGAGTGAGTGAGTGAGTGGATGAGTGAGTGAGTGAGTGGATGAGTGAGTAAGTGGATGAGTGAGTGGATGAGTGGATGAGTGAGTGAGTGGATGAGTGAGTGAGTGGATGAGTGAATGGATGAGTAAGTGGATGAGTGGATGAGTGAGTGGATGAGTGAGTGAGTGGATGAGTGAGAGAGTGAGTGGATGAGTGAGTGAGTGGATGAGTGAGTGGATGAGTGAGTGAGTGGATGAGTGGATGAGTGAGTGGCTGAGTGAGTGAGTGAGTTGCTGAGTGAGTGAGTGGCTGAGTGAGTGAGTGGCTGAGTGAGTGAGTGAGTTGCTGAGTGAGTGAGTGGCTGAGTGAGTGAGTGGATGAGTGAGTGGATGAGTGGATGAGTGAGTGAGTGGATGAGTGAGTGAGTGGATGAGTGAGTGGATGAGTGAGTGGATGAGTGAGTGAGTGGATGAGTGGATGAGTGAGTGGATGAGTGAGTGAGTGGATGAGTGAGAGAGTGAGTGGATGAGTGAGTGAGTGGATGAGTGAGTGGATGAGTGAGTGGATGAGTGAGTGAGTGGATGAGTGGATGAGTGAGTGGCTGAGTGAGTGAGTGAGTTGCTGAGTGAGTGAGTGGATGAGTGAGTGAGTGGATGAGTGAGTGAGTGGATGAATGAGTGAGTGGATGAGTGAGTGGATGAGTGAGTGAGTGGATGAGTGAGTGGATGAGTGAGTGAGTGGATGAGTGAGAGAGTGGATGGATGAGTGAGTGAGTGGATGAATAAGTGAGTAAGTGGATGAGTGAGTGGATGAGTGAGTGGATGAGTGAGTGAGTGGATGAGTGAGTGAGTGGATGAGTGAGTGAGTGGATGAGTGAGTGAGTGGATGAGTGAGTGAGTGGATGAGTGAGTGAGTGGGTGAGTGAGTGAGTGGATGAGTGAGTGAGTAAGTGAGTGAGTGAGTGAGTGGATGAGTGAGTGGGTGAGTGAGTGGATGAGTGAGTGGATGAGTGAGTGGATGAGTGAGTGAGTGGATGAGTGAGTGAGTGGATGAGTGAGTGAGTGGATGAGTGAGTGAGTGGATGAGTGAGTGAGTGGATGAGTGAGTGAGTGAGTGGATGAGTAAGTGGATGAGTGAGTGGATGAGTGAGAGAGTAAGTGGATGAGTGAGTGAGTGGATGAGTGAGTGAGTGGATGAGTGAGTGAGTGGATGAGTGAGTGAGTGAGTGGATGAGTGAGTGAGTGGATGAGTGAGTGGGTGAGTGAATGAGTGGATGAGTGAGTGAGTGAGTGGATGAGTGAGTGAGTGGATGAGTGAGTGGATGAGTGAGTGAGTGGATGAGTGAGAGAGTGGATGGATGAGTGAGTGAGTGGATGAATAAGTGAGTAAGTGGATGAGTGAGTGGATGAGTGAGTGGATGAGTGAGTGAGTGGATGAGTGAGTGAGTGGATGAGTGAGTGAGTGGATGAGTGAGTGAGTGGATGAGTGAGTGAGTGGATGAGTGAGTGAGTGGGTGAGTGAGTGAGTGGATGAGTGAGTGAGTGGATGAGTGAGTGAGTGGATGAGTGAGTGAGTGGATGAGTGAGTGAGTGGGTGAGTGAGTGAGTGGATGAGTGAGTGAGTAAGTGAGTGAGTGAGTGAGTGGATGAGTGAGTGGGTGAGTGAGTGGATGAGTGAGTGGATGAGTGAGTGGATGAGTGAGTGAGTGGATGAGTGAGTGAGTGGATGAGTGAGTGAGTGGATGAGTGAGTGAGTGGATGAGTGAGTGAGTAAGTGAGTGAGTGAGTGAGTGGATGAGTGAGTGGGTGAGTGAGTGGATGAGTGAGTGGATGAGTGAGTGGATGAGTGAGTGAGTGGATGAGTGAGTGAGTGGATGAGTGAGTGAGTGGATGAGTGAGTGAGTGGATGAGTGAGTGAGTGGATGAGTGAGTGAGTGAGTGGATGAGTAAGTGGATGAGTGAGTGGATGAGTGAGAGAGTAAGTGGATGAGTGAGTGAGTGGATGAGTGAGTGAGTGGATGAGTGAGTGAGTGGATGAGTGAGTGAGTGAGTGGATGAGTGAGTGAGTGGATGAGTGAGTGGGTGAGTGAATGAGTGGATGAGTGAGTGAGTGAGTAAGTGGATGAGTGAGTGAGTGAGTGGATGAGTGAGTGAGTGGATGAGTGAGTGAGTGAGTGGATGAGTGAGTGAGTGGATGGGCGAGTGTGTGAGTGGATGAGTGAGTGAGTGAGTGGATGAGTGAGTGGATGAGTGAGTGAGTCAGTGGATGAGTGAGTGGATGAGTGAGTGGATGAGTGAGTGAGTGAGTGGATGAGTGAGTGAGTAAGTGAGTGGATGAGTGAGTGGATGAGTGAGTAAGTGGATGAGTGAGTGGATGAATAAGTGAGTAAGTGGATGAGTGAGTGGATGAGTGGGTGAGTGAGTGAGTGGATGAATGAGTGAGTGAGTGGATGAGTGAGTGGATGAGTGGGTGAGTGAGTGGATGAATGAGTGAGTGAGTGGATGAGTGAGTGGATGAGTGGGTGAGTGAGTGGATGAATGAGTGAGTGAGTGGCTGAGTGGATGAGTGAGTGAGTGGATGAATGAGTGAGTGAGTGGATGGGTGAGTAAGTGGATGAGTGAGTGGATGAGTGAGTGGATGAGTGAGTGGATGAGTGAGTGAGTGGATGAGTGGATGAGTGAGTGAGTGAGTGGATGAGTGACTGAGTGGATGAATGAGTGAGTGAGTGAGCGAGTGAGCGAGAATCCGACCCGTGGCCCTCCCGCTCCCCCAGCGAGTGCGGCCTCACCTTCTCCACGGCCCTCCGGAGCGTGTTGAGGTTGCGCAACCACCAGCCCGCGCCCATCGCCTTCAGGTGAGCCCACTGGGCAGTTCCGGCCATCACGCCCGGCACCATCAGCAGCAGCTCCTCCTCCGCCTCCGAGTGGAAGGCCCAGGCAAAGTAGCACGTGGACAGGCCTGGGGGGAGGGGAGGGGAGGAGGGGGAGGGGGGGGGAGGGGGGGGAGGGGTGAGTGTGGGGAGGGTGGGTGAGTGGGGGGTGGGTGAGTGGGTGTGGGTGGGTGAGTGAGTGGGTGAGTGAGTGGGTTAGTGGGTGAGTGAGTGGGTCAGTGAGTGAGTGGGTGGGTGAGTGAGTGAATGGGTGGGTGGGTGAGTGAATGGGTGGGTGGGTGAGTGAGTGGGTGAGTGGGTGGGTGGGTGAGTGAGTGAGTGGGTGAGTGAGTGAGTGGGTGAGTGAGTGAGTGAGTGGGTGAGTGGCGGGTGGGTGGTTGGGTGAGTGTGTGGGTGGGTGGGTGAATGGGTGGGTGGGTGAGTGAGTGAGTGGGTGAGTGAGTGAGTGGGTGGGTGAGTGGGTGAGTGGGTGAGTGAGTGAGTGGGTGGGTGAGTGGGTGAGTGAGTGAGTGGGTGGGTGAGTGGGTGAGTGCGTGAGTGAGTGGGTGAGTGGGTGAGTGAGTGAGTGAGTGGGTGAGTGAGTGGGTGGGTGGGTGAGTGGGTGAGTGAGTGAGTGGATGAGTGGGTGGGTGGGTGAGTGAGTGGGTGGGTGGGTGAGTGGGTAAGTGAGTGGGTGAGTGAGTGGGTGAGTGTGTGAGTGAGTGGGTGAGTGGGTGAGTGGGTGAGTGAGTGGATGAGTGGGTGGGTGGGTGAGTGAGTGGGTGGGTGGGTGAGTGGGTGTGGGTGGGTGAGTGGGTGAGTGGCGGGTGGGTGGGTGGGTGAGTGGGTGGGTGGGTGGATGAATGGGTGGGTGAGTGAGTGGGTGAGTGGGTGGGTGGGTGAGTGGGTGGATGGGTGGGTGGGTGAGTGAGTGAGTAAGTGGGTGAGTGAGTGAGTGGGTGAGTGGGTGGGTGGGTGAGTGGGTGGGTGGGTGAGTGAGTGACTGAGTAGGTGAGTGAGTGAGTGGGTGAGTGAGTGGGTGAGTGAGTGGGTGGGTGAGTGAGTGAGTGGGTGAGTGAGTGGGTGTGTGAGTGAGTGGGTAGGTGAGTGGGTGAGTGAGTGAGTGAGTGGATGAGTGAGTGAGCGGGTGAGCGGGTGAGCGAGCGGGCAAGGTGAGTGAGTGAGTGGGTGAGTGAGTGAGTGGGTGAGCGGGTGAGTGAGCGGGTGAGTGAGTGGGTGAGTGGGTGAGTGAGTGGGTGTTTGAGTGACTGAGTGAGTGGATGAGTGTGTGAGTGAGTGGGTGTTTGAGTGACTGAGTGACTGAGTGGGTGAGTGACTGAGCGGGTGAGCGGGTGAGCTGGTGAGCTGGTGAGCTGGTGAGCGAGCGGGCAAGGTGAGTGCCACTCACCCTGGTGAAGCAGCTGGGTGCGGTAGACGGGAGGGAGTGAGGTGAGCAGGCAGAGGTGGAGCCTCATCGCAAGCAGGAACCTCACCCCACACTCGTCCAGTGCCTCACCACCTGCTCACCACCACACACAGACACAACGGTGTCCACCACCACCACCACCGCCTGTGACAGGAGGGGGTGGGGGTGAGTGGGGGGGTGAGTGGGGGGGGTGAGTGGGGGCGGGGGGGGGGGGCTCACCGGTTGCCATGGAAGCGTAGCCCCCACCCCCGGCACCTCCCCCCAGTGCCAGGCCGTCGGCGTCGCTCAGTGAGCTGGGGGCGGAGCCTGCGGTAGCCACGGTTACAGCCATAGCAACAGCCATAGCAACAGCCATGGTTACAGTCATGGCTACAGTCATAGCAACAGTCATGGCTACAGTCATAGCAACAGCCATAGCAACAGTAATGGCTATAGTCATAGAAACTGTCATGGCTACAGTCATAGCAACAGCCATAGCAACAGCCATAGCAACAGCCATGGTTACAGTCATGGCTACAGTCATAGCAACAGTCATGGCTACAGTCATAGCAACAGCCATAGCAACAGTCATGGCAACAGTCATGGCAACAGCCATCGCAACAGCCATAGCAACAGTCATGGCTACAGTCATAGCGACAGTCATGGCTACAGTCATAGCAACAGTCATGGCTACAGTCATAGCAACAGTCATGGCTACAGTCATGGCTACAGTCATAGCAACAGCCATCGCAACAGCCATAGCAACAGTCATGGCTACAGTCATAGCGACAGTCATGGCTACAGTCATAGCAACAGTCATGGCTACAGTCATAGCAACAGCCATAGCAACAGTCATGGCAACAGCCATAGCGACAGTCATGGCAACAGTCATAGCAACAGTCATGGCTACAGTCATAGCAACAGCCATAGCAACAGTCATGGCAACAGCCATCGCAACAGCCATAGCAACAGTCATGGCTACAGTCATAGCGACAGTCATGGCTACAGTCATAGCAACAGTCATGGCTACAGTCATAGCAACAGCCATAGCAACAGTCATGGCAACAGCCATAGCGACAGTCATGGCAACAGTCATAGCAACAGTCATGGCTACAGTCATAGCAACAGCCATAGCAACAGCCATAGCAACAGTCATGGCAACAGCCATAGCGACAGTCATGGCTACAGTCATAGCAACAGCCATAGCAACAGTCATGGCAACAGCCATAGCGACAGTCATAGCGACAGTCATGGCAACAGTCATAGCAACAGTCATGGCTACAGTCATGGCTACAGTCATAGCAACAGCCATAGCAACATTCATGGCCACAGTAACGGCTACAGCCACTCACTCCAATAGCCACAGATACTCAGTCACCCGATCACTCATCCCACCCATCCACTCACCACCCACCCTTCTCACTCACCACCCACCCACCCCACCCACCCCACCCACCTCACCCACCCACCAAACCTCAATAACTCACCCACCCACTCACCACCCACCCCACCCACCCCACCCACCCCACCCACCTCACCCACCCACCAAACCTCAATAACTCACCCACCCACTCACAACCCATCCACCTCACACCCCCCCCACCCAGCCCCCCCACCCACGTTACTCACCCACCTCACCCACCCACCCACCACTCACCTCACCCCACTCACCTCACCCACCCACCACCTCACCCACCCACTCACCTCACCCATCCACCTCACCCCACTCACCTCAACCACCTCACTCACCCACCCACCAACACACTCACTCCCCCGCAACCCACTCCCCCCACGTTACTCACCCACTCATCCCATCCACCCACCAACACACTCACCCACTCACCCACGCCACTCACCCACTCATCCCACCCACCCACCCACCAACACACTCACCCACTCACCCACCCACCAACACACTCACCCACTCATCCCACCCACCCACCCACCAACACACTCACCCACTCACCCACGTCACTCACCCACTCATCCCACCCACCCACCCACCCACCAACACACCCACTCATCCCACCCACCCACCCACCAACACACTCACCCACTCACCCACCCACCCACCAACACACTCACCCACTCATTCCACCCACCCACCAACACACTCACCCACTCACCCACGTTACTCACCCACTCATCCCACCCACCCACCCACCAACACACCCACCCACTCACCTCACCCATCCACCTCACCCCACTCACCTCAACCACCTCACTCACCCACCCACCAACACACTCACTCCCCCGCAACCCACTCCCCCCACGTTACTCACCCACTCATCCCATCCACCCACCAACACACTCACCCACTCACCCACGCCACTCACCCACTCATCCCACCCACCCACCCACCAACACACTCACCCACTCACCCACCCACCAACACACTCACCCACTCATCCCACCCACCCACCCACCCACCAACACACTCACCCACTCACCCACGTCACTCACCCACTCATCCCACCCACCCACCCACCAACACACCCACTCATCCCACCCACCCACCCACCAACACACTCACCCACTCACCCACCCACCCACCAACACACTCACCCACTCATCCCACCCACCCACCAACACACTCACCCACTCACCCACGTCACTCACCCACTCATCCCACCCACCCACCAACACACTCACCCACTCACCCACGTCACTCACCCACTCATCCCACCCACCCACCCACCAACACACCCACTCATCCCACCCACTCACCCACCTCACTCACCCACTCATCCCACCCACCCACCCACCAACACACTCACCCACTCACCTCACCCCACTCACCTCACCCACCCACCCACCAACACACTCACCAACACACTCACCCACTCATCCCACCCACCCACCAACACACTCACCCACTCACCTCACCCCACTCACCTCACCCACCCACCCCACCCCACACCCACACCCACCCACCCTCCCACCCACCCCACCCTCCCACCCACCGGCCAGCCCGCGCCCACCCACGGCGTGCGTGCCGGTGCCTGCGACCGTATCGGCGAGGGCCAGCAGGCACATCTGCTCCAGGCTGGAGAGGCCTGGCAGGCTGGAGTGGACCAGGTGGGCCGAGAGGACCCTGGCGAGCTCGGGCCCGAAGTGTCCGGGGCCTCGAGACGACGGGCGGGGCCGGCGGCGGCGGGGGCGGTGGCGGCGGGGGCGGTGGAGGCGGGAGGCGGCGGAGGCGGTGGAGGCGGTGGAGGCTCCGCCGCCGACAAAGTCGTCGTCCAAGGCGGGCGGCTCCAGCGCCGCGGGGGAGGCGAAGAGGGAGGCGTAGCCGCCGCCACCACCACCACCACCACCACCGTGGCCACCACCACCACCGTAGCCACCGTAGCCACCACCACCACCACCACCGTGGCCACCACCACCACCAACACCGTAGCCACCACCACCACCACCACCACCGTAGCCACCGCCGTAGCCACCGCGGTCTTCGTCGTGGTGGGTGGAGGGGGTGGATGGGTCGCGCGAGGCGGGGCGGGCGGAGGGACGGGCGGACAGAGAGACAGGTGGACAGAGAGACAGGCGGACAGAGAGACAGGTGGACAGACAGACAGAGAAACAGAGAGACAGGCGGACAGAGAGACAGGTGGACAGAGAGACAGGCGGACAGAGAGACAGGTGGACAGAGAGACAGGCGGACAGAGAGACAGGCGGACAGAGAGACAGGTGGACAGAGAGACAGGTGGACAGAGAGACAGGCAGACAGAGAGACAGGTGGACAGAGAGACAGACAGACAGAGAGAGAGACAGGCGGACAGAGAGACAGGCGGACAGAGAGACAGGTGGACAGAGAGACAGGTGGACAGAGAGACAGGTGGACAGAGAGACGGACAGAGAGAGAGACAGGCGGACAGAGAGACAGGTGGACAGAGAGAAAGGTGGACAGAGAGAAAGGTGGACAGAGAGACAGGTGGACAGAGAGACAGGTGGACAGAGAGACAGGTGGACAGAGAGACAGGTGGACAGAGAGACAGGTGGACAGAGAGACAGGTGGACAGAGAGACAGGTGGACAGAGAGACAGGCGGAGAGACGGAGAGACAGGTGGACAGGTGGACAGAGAGACGGAGAGAGAGACGGACAGACAGGCAGATGGATGGGCGGGCGGACAGACAAAGAGACGGGTTTTAGACTGGCGTTACGTACGCGCTTTAAACAAAAAACCACCACCACTGCCACATCCATCACCGCCACCACCACCGTCACCACCACCACCGCCACCACCGCCACCACCACCACCACCACCATCACCATCACCACCACCACCACCACCGCTACCACCACCACCACCGCCGCCACCACCGCCACCACCACCACCATCACCATCACCGCCACCACCACCACCATCACCATCACCGCCACAACCACCACCACCGCTACCACCACCGCCACTACCGCCACCTCCACCACCTCCATCACCCCCACCACCACTACCACTACCACCTCCACCACCACCACCACCACAACCACCACCACCACCACAACCACCACCTCCATCACCGCCACCACCACCATGGCCACCGCCACCACCGCCACCACCACTACCACCTCCATTACCACCACCATCACCATCACCACCACCACCACCACCGCCATCACCATCACCACCACCACCACCACCGCCATCACCACCACCACCACCATCACTCGTGCGTCTCTACAACGGCCCCGGAACTGACCCCTGTCTCGGGCCTCCCCAGAGGTGGGGGGCCCCGGGGCACGAGGCCCGGCTTGGGGGGGCCCCGGGGGACGAGGCCCGGCTTGGGGGGGCCCCGGGGGACGAGGCCCGGCGTCCGTGGCATCGGCGGCCAGGAGGGCGTAGAGCGGCAGCGGAGGCACGGAGTCAATACGCGCGTACTCCACACACGGGGAGGCCTTGACACACACACACATACATACACACACAGTCACATACATACAGTCATACACACACACATACACACACACACATACACACATTCACACACACACAGTCACATACACACACACAGTCACACACACAGTCACACACACACACATACACACACACACATACACAGTCACACACACACACATACACACACACACATACACAGTCACATACATACAGTCATACACACACACATACACACAGTCACACACACAGTCACACACACACACACAGTCACACAGTCACATACACACACACACAGTCACATACACACAGTCACACACACACACATACACACAGACACACACACACAGTCACATACATACAGTCATACACACACACATACACACAGTCACACACACAACAACAACAACAACCGCCATTCGCCACTAAGTGGCGGTGACGTCACCACGACGCTTGTGCCAGGCTATGTGCACCCTGAGGCCACGTGAAGTGTCGAACGCCCGCTGGCAGGAGGTCACGGGGCAGACCCAGGTGCCACGGGTCGACTGACTGAGATGACTGGCTGATGCACCACCTGTGCCCCCTACTGTGCCAACCTGCTGTGCTTTAGCCACCCGGCGCTCCGCTCGCTGTTGTGAGCGTCGCTCCTCCGCCCTCCGTTGTTGTTGGAGGGCGACTACCTCCAACTGCCCAGTAGCATCCTTCACGAGCCTCCTCCACAGAGGTCGATCTTGACACCGCTGGTACCGGTCATCGGCAAGTCCACTCAGCTCCACGTCCTCCTGTACCACGTCACTCCATCTCTTCTCTAGCCCGTGCCGCGCCCGCTTAGCCCCCTCAATCCGGCCAAAAAAAAACTGTTTGGGCATGCGGTGGCTGGGCATGCGGGCTACATGACCCAGCCATCGCAGCCTTGCCTGCCGGAGGAGCTCACCGATGGGACCTTGCCCAGATCTTTCAAGGATTTGTGAGCTCCTCACACAATCCAGTCTGGTTAAACCCAGGATGGATCGTAGGCAGGCCAGCCTAAAATGTTTCTAACCGGCGAAGATGTTCCATTAGGGGGGTCCACGTTTCGCAAGCGTAGAGAAGGGAGGGAATGACCGTGGCCGA